CCCTCAGCCGCTCCTCGTCAGACCTGTGCTCCAGACCCTTCCCCAGCTTCGTTGCCCTTCTCTGGACCTGCTCCAGCCCCTCAATGTCCTTCTTGTGGTGAGGGGCCCAAAACTGACCCCAGGATTCAAGGTGCGGCCTCACCAGTGCCGAGTACAGGGGCACAATCTCCTATTGTTTCAGCAAGCCACCAGGCAGGATAAACCTGCTATCACCTTGCCCCATCCCTGGAGGGGTTCAAGGCCAGGCTGGATGAGGCTTTGGGCAACCTGGGCTAGTGGGAGGGGTCCCTGCCCATGGCAGGGGGTGGGACTGGATGGGCTTTAAGGTCCTTTCCAACCCAAACCATTCTGTGATTCTACGATTCTGTGTATTTGCACATATGCAAATACTCTTCAGAGGGCACTGAAACAAGCTGAAGGAAATATGCTTCATCTTGTGTGAGAATTATCACAACAAAATGTGGTTTTCAACTCAAAGTATGCATTTCAATTTCCTATTATTGTGAATACTGCAAAATATTGCCTTCATCATTTGCCTCTGAAAGGGGAATTTTGCAATAAGCACTTCAAGGAAGCGATTTCTAGACCGGTGCACCGTTTTGAAGGGTTGGATTAGTTCCTTGTGCAATGTCACTGACAAGCCATCCCTAGAAGTTATTTAAGCTTGAACGGTGCAGACGCAATGGGGCTTACTGGCCAAGCTTCTCACTGACGTGTGCTACCGGTCAACTTCAACATCGCTCAGGCTGTAATGCAAGAAAAAGCTTTCAACCTACAGTCCCTCCCGGGAGATTTCTGTCATTAGACATGGAACAGAGCCAAAAAATGTGTGTCCAGCTGCTCAAACCAGAGAGCCTCAAGGGTCACTCCGGTAAGCTGCTGTTTCCATGCCCGTCTGCAGTTCCATTTTCGGAGTGCAGTTTTAGCAGGTGAAGAACACAGATTCTATTTCATATCTTTCATATGACGGATGTTTTCTCTTCTTTACCTTATAATGAATGGATGTTTTGTTTGAGTCTGGATCTCAACGTTATAATAAATGAAAAATATCACTTGCAAGTTATATCAGCTTCAAACTCCCTACTACCTCAAGACTTCTCTGATCTCTAACAATCACCATTATATTTAAACCAAAAGCCTAGCTTGGTTTTGGCATCCCCTTCTTCAGGAAAGGGCAGTAACCTCAACTCTTCGGAAGAACAACCAAGAAGCCATGGATGGAGAGGCAGGAGGTCTCTCCACTGTTCTCCTTTCTGGCCCAGAAAAAGTGTTACAGGTTGGTTGCTGCTGTAAAGGCCAGATGGAAATTTCCACGGAAAACATCTCCACAAACTCTGGCTGGTAAAAGGCACAGAGATATTATCCAACCACCGGAAACTCTGCCACAAGGCATGTGAATAGGTGATGCCAAAAGCCACTGGACCAGATTTTCCTCCAGTTTAACACTAAACCAAAATCTCCTCTGCACAGGACACAGAGACAAACAAGCCTGAGATCCTGTAAGGATGAGCTGGTGCGACGGAGAAACAGCAGGATGGAGGGATGCCCTGGGCTCAGGAGGGGCTTGAATTCAATCTCAGCAGCACTTCAAGACCTCACTGCTGCAAGAGCCCTTCTCTCTGGTCTGCTTCCCCAAATGTCCATCCCCTGTTTGTAACAGATACTCGACAGCGGGCTGAAGAACCTACAAGTGCACATTAAATGCACACGGCAGCTCACTGTGCGAACCTGGATCCAAAGGATGCAGGTGAAACTAAGCAGGACAGGTAATTCCAGCCTGCCAAACCTCTGCTGCGAAGCCCTATGGCAACACTTCAGCTGGACGTGACAACAGAGTGGTATGCGTGTTGGGTAGCTATTCTTGATCCATAAGAGCCTAAACAGTAAATATCTATCTATCCCTAAAGAGTAAATATCTACCCAGCCCAACAAGACAACTGCTCTCGTCTTGGAGAAGCAGTCCAGCCAAGTGAGAAGACAAAGCGGTTAAAAAATGAGAAGGAACATGGTAAAACTGTGACTCCTAATGTAATCTATATCCAGAGGGAAAACAAAGAGAACCTAAAACTCCGGCGTATATCACAGAAGCGTCTTCTTGCTATGGAGGCACCGTTGCCAGAAAACTTCACTCCAAAAGGTTAATATTCATGGACAGGTGAAAAATTCTTTTCCTTTAACAAACCATACTTGGACCAAGTGAATAAACTGCTGGGAAACAACCCACGTAAAGAGGGTTTCTGGTTCAGAACACACTGCAATGCTGCCAAGTTCAAAGAGCCTAGGAACTGAAAAAAAAACCCAAAGCTGTATTGACAGTGAAAAGGCAAATTAAATAACTGGAACGTCCTTCAGCGCAGACACTGGCTGGGAACGGCAGAGATCTGTAAAGCCAGAAATCCCATCGGGAAGGTGATCCGGGAGTGCCAGTAATTATTTCTCCCAACACACAAATTAGAGGAAGAAAACTAATTTTTTGGCAGGAGGTGCAAAACAAAGAAAAGCAAGGTTCCCTCCACACAAGGCGGAAGTCAGCCAAGAAAATCGATCACTTTGGAGGCCTGAACACGTTCTGGAAACGAAGGAACTCCTCAGAGGAAATGCATTTGAGGTTACGAAGTACAAAGACAGGAGTGCAATCTCAGGGATGAGAATTTCTACATGTGAGAGAAGTGGGTGCAGTGGATGTAGCGGTGTACGCCTGACCTGGTTTCATCCTCTTTTCCTAAACACGTGCTCCTTGGCCAGGAACACTTGGGTCTGAAAAAGAGGAACCACTGTTTCTGTTCATGACCCACTGCGAAAGCCGTGTTTTTGTAAGACCCGACCAGACGTTATTGCCTTGGTGTAGCTCAGCTGGTGTCACTGCACTCAGGAGTAACTTGGCGTTGGGGCTGGTGACTCAGAGGAGTAACTATCACCCCCAATGGATGCCAAATATATTCCTCCAGCAATTCCATGAGCTGGCTACTCATCGTGGGCAGAGGCTTGTCAAAAACCTGGGTGATGGGCACACGCACTACAGCCAGCTAAGCCTGACCTTCATTCTCAGAAATACCCTTCCTTAACCACACCGTGCAAACCGAACAACTCCACCACGCCTGTGAGACTTGGATGAGAAAAGACAAAGCTGGGAATAATATCATCAGGCATTTTGGGGTCCTCCAACGATGGGACGTGAGAGGCTACTCAACGGCTTTGCACACACGTTCCTCACAGTCGAAGCTGCGTTTGGAAGACAGTGACCTTTAATGAGGTTTGAATCCTTGCTTTAATCCCAGGAGAAGGAGCAACATCTTCTTAGAGATGGGATGAGAGAAGGCATGTGAGTAGCCCACAAACCCAGCCCCAGAATCACAAAGTTTCAGAATCCACATCATTCAGTAATGTGCATTAGCATTTTTTAACAGGTCATCAAACAGAAAAAAAAAAAAAAAATCACACCCCCACACTCTTCCCCCTCCCTTCAGTTTGCATCCTTAGTTAAAATACTGAAAATAGGTGTACTTACAGGGAGATCTGTAAAGGCTATACCTGTGGGGGGAAAAATATTAGAATTAAAAAGACAAAGGATTTTTTTCCCTGCTTGGCTATATCCTTAACATTCTACAAAATATTACTGCATTTCAATACATCCCAGCTCTGACCCGGCGTTTCACCACCTGGTGTATTTAGCAGTAACTTCCCTCCCCAGTCCCCTCCTCTGCAAGGTTCGGCATCTGGAGAAAGGTTCAGGGAAAAGTCCAAGTTTTTCAGACACCTCTCCCAAAAATTGGATTTTCTAAGCAGCAGCTCCTCTTTTCTTTGCTTCTCCCTCCATCACTATGAAGGAGTTCATTTTCAAGACTCACTATGACTTTAGAAGCAGAGTTTTCCTATAACGTCGCTTGGGTTTAGGCTAGAACTAGTTCTTCTTACCAGCCAGAGAGGCAGGAAGGAACATGCAATGCTTTGCATGACACCTGGGAACAGCAGGAGGAGCACGCTGCTGCCTGGAGCACCTGAGAAACCCTGCGCAAAGAACAGCTTCATCCTTACTGTCACAAACAAAAGAGATGGGAAAAAGTGTACGGTTTCCCTGGCATGCCAGAAAAGAGATATTTAAGCGGAGGTAGCCATTGCCTAGGGTAGCGAACAAAGCCGTGGCCAGGGACAACACTCAGCCCCGCAGTGCTGGGGTCCCTCTGCCCCCTCTCCCGCAGCCTGTGTCCCTCCATCTGCTGTGGCTGGGATCCAGCCGCACAGGGAGATGGATGGGCCAGCGCCAGCAGCTCTGACACACAGGTTTTGGGTCACCCTCACCCAAAGCACCGGGCAAACCGCTGCCGTGCCCTGCTCACCCGAGCAAGCTGAGCTTAATGCATCTTTTCAGCTAACCTTTCAGGAGTCCATCTGGAAGCTGCGGTCTTGCCCCGTGCATGCTCCCAGCAATGCTTTCTGTCCCCAGGCAGAGGAAGGCTGGTACCCACACCAGTATGCCCAGTCCTCGCACACATCCCGCCTCTCAGCCACCCAGCAGTCCCTTCTGCCCCACACTGAAACGCACTGCAGCCTGCACAGAGCCAGAGCACGTCATTCTCCGTTTTTAACATCAGGACTATTCTAACCAAGAGCTACAATGTCATGTTAACAGATCAGCCTGAAATGGTAATTTAGATCCATTTTAGGAGTCAACATAGGAAATAAATCATTACTATTTGAAACAGCACAGATTCAAAATCAAATGCTCAGAAAAAAAAAAATCCTGCGTATTTTACTAAGCAAATAGCCAATAGGTTTAACTAACATCCTGGCAGGTGGCCAATACGGTTTACTGAACTTCATGGCAGACCCTGTCCTTTGAGTACCCTCTCCACAACCCAACCAAAAACTGCATGTACAAGTGATGCTGAATAACTGGCGGAGAAAAATGTCCAGTAAGCCTTTCTCCCACCCCAGCATTTTGCCTAAATACTGTTCCTCACTCAAACCTGCTTTTCACTTCACACCTGTTTTGCTCAGCTGGATGAAAGCTTGTTCCTACCCTTACACCACAATGACGCCAACCTCCTTGAGTCTGCCGTCCGCCAGCGTCCTGCTCTGTCCCCCAGCATCGCTCGGAGACAAAGGTGGCCCGGCTTTCCCACACCAGCCCGTGTTGCCGTACGGCTGCGAGCTGCATCCAGCCCACGGGCAAGCACGGGATTTCTGAGTGGACTACAAGGTGGGTGGAAAATTGGCTGGACTGGCAGGATCGAAGGGTTGTGATCAGCAGCTCAAGGTCCAAGTGTTGTCCCTCAGGGGACAATGGTAGAACAACACAGTTTAGTGTTGTCCCTACCATTGATCCCAGACGGGACAATGGGACAAACCCCCATCAGGGATCAACGGTAGGGACAACACAGTTTAATGTCTTCCTTAATGACCGGGATGATGGGATGGCGTGCGTTCTCAGCAGGCTCATGGTTGTTCCCAAATACACTGGCAGGCATACTGCTACTCAGAGGGACTTCCAACAGGCTGGAGAAATGATCCAGCATAAACCTGACGAAGCTCAAGAAAAGCAACTGAAGAGCCCTTCCACCAGGTTGGAATATTCCCAGAAAACAGGCTGGGTTGGATGGAGAGAAAGCAGATCTGCAGGAAAGGATGCAGGAGGTCCTGCTGGGCACCAAGCTGAGCAGGGAGTCAGCAGAGAAGCAGGTCAACCACATCCTGGGCTCTACTAGTAAGAGTAGAAGCTGGAGTGTAGATTAAAGGAAGGGATTGCTCCCTTCCCTTCACCACTTGTGAGTCTGAACTTGGAATACGATGGTCACCTTTGGGCTCTCCAGTCCAATACAGACAGCAAATCTGGGTGAGTCCAGCAGAGGCCAACAAGATGAAGAGAGGCTACGGGAAATCGGATTGTTCAGGTTTATTCAGCAGTTGTTCAGACACTTATTGCTGCCTACAGCTACCTAACGGGAGGGTACTGAGAAGACAGAGCCAGACTCTCCCCAGAGATGCAGGTGAGAGGACACAGGGGCAACAGAGACCAGCTGCAACACGGCAAATTCTGATTAGACATTAGGGGAAAAATTCAGTATGAACGTAGTCAAACACTGAATCAGGAAAAAAAGCCCTCTGGGGGATCTCCATTCTTGGAGACTTGACGAGTTTCTGAGTAATGTGACCTAGCTGGTCCTGCTTTCAGCAGGGCCTCCAGAGATCCCTCTCAAGGAAAATTATGATTCTAGAAATGAACTAATTACATCACCTTTAAATTAAGGGATTTGTATGTTTTGCATCCTCTGTTACATAACTAAGACCAATAAAATGCTTTATGTGTACAGAACCAGATCTGTTGCACAAATAGGTCTGCTTAGAGGCTTCATCCTTAATCGGTACTGTCGCACACCTGCATCCAACAAGTCAACAGCAGAAAGCGAAAGTATCACGGCTCTAATTAGGCAGCTGGATTTAAAACTGCACTCCTTCTCTGCAGCACCTCCAAAGCCTGGATCCAATTTAAAATAACTTCATAAATTTAGAGACATAAGAGCTGGAAAGCTCAAGAGGTCAGGAAGCAAGAGCGAGCGTGTGGAGAGCCTCTCCTCTAAGTCCACGACGTTAACGTGATCATCAAGGCAGTGATGCAAAGTCATCAAACGAAGGTTCAGTGCTGGGGGACGGTGTGATCGACACCTTCACCTGCCATCTAATCAAAGGACTTTCACCTTTCCACGACTAACGTGTGCTTATACGCATCCCCATGCACACAACATGCTTGTGGACCTTCTAGCCCAACTCTACCCTCCACCCAGCAACAATCATCCTGCCTGCCTCACAGCTGGCCACAAGACCTTTCAGAACCCAGTTTGCACAAGACAACACACATTTGGGTGCTCAGCCACAACACCCCGTTTCCTGTACAGCAGGATCCCCTAGCATCCTAGGGGGATCATCCTAGTGTCTGTTTAGCTCATGGTCATTCAGAGAATGCATAGGCAGTGCCGATGGACTGCAATAAGCAACAACACAGCAAGATGGGCATCCTGAAGAGTAGATTAGGAAACATCAGCCCATGAAATACTTGAATACTTCGACAACTTGCTCCTGAGGAGCAGCACCATTAAACCCACACAGCTCTACGTGCTCTTGGGAACAGTCATCTTCCAGCCAAGCCACTTGGGTAAAACTATTCCTGCAGAGAAACAAGGCTGTAGCCAAGTTTGATATTTTACATTCATTTTAAATTTGGTTCATCTAAAGTCTTGTTTTAAACCTCCCAATGCTCTTGCCCTCTGCAAACAACATTCGAAGGTTTGAGGACAAACCTATTAAACTTGGGAAGGACATCTGTGGGTCTTGATGACAGGTAGGTTTCTTCATTATCCCTAATGTTCCCGTTAATCTCTGACCTGGCTGCAGAAAGGGTATTTTACAGGTTAACCTGGCCTTTCCAAGGGCCCGCATGGGAACTCAGACTCCAGGAAGTTTTCTATGCCAAGACTTCAGAGGGTTGCACACTCTGTTTATAGCCCTGCTGCTCCATTTACCTTGGTCTGTCAAAGTCTGAGACCTGAATCACTCGTACACGAGTCCCTGAGCAAACTAACCCGCTTAATCCCAGAGACCTGCCGCAGTCACATTCCCAGATCACTTTCTATGTCCCAGACTATCTGCTTAACGGCTGGAGCCTCAACGTTTCTCACATTTCTTCCTCTTTTTCTTCTAATTCACCCTCACCACACTTCTAACCACATCTCATAATGGTTTTTTATTGCCAGAACTCTTTTTAACAGATGTTTTATCAGCAGCCGGAAGACGTTAAAGACATTTTCCAGAACAGATAATGAAGACTACATACGACATCAGTTTTCATGGGATGTCTCCAAAGAAAGTCCAAGACTTAGCTGTAACCAGAACATCCACGATTTGTGATGGCCGAGAAAACAGTGCTTACACAGTGCTCCTGCTGGATCTGATTAAATGGAAAAGGATGGAGACAATGGAAGATTATTTCATTAACAGGAGAAATTGCAAGGAAAACAAAGGGGAGGTGTCAAATTAACAGATGAAAAGGAGAGGACAGAATGGTGAAGAGAGAATATCACCTTTACAAAGCTACAGTAATTCCATTAAAAATGAGACAAATTCAAACGCCCAGAGGCAGGGCACTGAAACCCTTCTGCCAAGCCAACTGGCATCACAAGGGAGCTGATGAGTCTCACAAATATTTTGGTATCTGCAGCGGGATTACACAATGACCTCATTTCCTAAGAGGAGAGATATACAGTTTCATTGGTGTTCTGTCCAGGAACATCAAGATAAAGCACATTCATCCCCTTCCTGGTAAACCAAGGTCTACACAGCACGGAAATGAGATACTCAGCTTAACATGAAGCATCATGAAATGTTCAAGATCTTCTAGGAGATGCTTCCACCAGTGCAGAAAGCATTCAAAATAAATGCTTTCAAATGAATCGTGGCTCCCGCCTCCATCTGGTTCCTCTGCTGCCCCCAACTCCCCCCTCTCACATCTGTTCTGCGCCCGGCAGAAGCCGCGGAGCAGCCAGACCACCGCCAGCTGTGCTCCACGGGGCTCCTCTCCTCTGCATCCCGCGGCAAGCCCCTCTTTGAACGCTGCGTCTCTTTATCAGTGCCACAAATAGACACTACTGGCCCTTACCAACCAAATCAGGTTTTCATTCTGCTTTTGTAAAAAGACAGTAAAACGTTCCAGCAGCTTTTGTGGGGGTCAGCCCAGCAACAACCGCTGGTCTGCAACGACTCAGTACTCCCACCACTCTGTCTCCTCTAACCACAGCATCTCTCCTCTCTGAGTACAACCATCATGCCACTACAGCTCAAAGAGACGCTGGCAGGTGAACGAGGCAGCTGGGAACCCTCAGGAGGGTCTCCTACCTATAATCTTCTCATACATCTCCCACCTTGTACCACACATCCGAAGAGCCCCAGAGGAGGATACAGGAGGCAGCGATGCTCATCACCTCCTGCTGATCTCTAAGCACAGTGTCATTTAGCTCCCTTCCTTTCCTGTTTCTTCTCACTAGCGCTGCTCCCCACGGGAACAGGCAGTGTCAGATTAGAGAACACAAGCTTTCCACCCAAAAAAACAAATCAAAACAAAACAAAAAAACCAAACCAAAAACAAACCAAAAAACTTTGAAGGATAAGAAGCATTAAAAATCAAGAAAGGAAAACCAGGTAACTTCATTGCTGTTTAGAACTCCAAATGTCCCAAACAAAACAGATCTCTGAGCAGGACACGATGCAAAGAATCAGAGGGTGGTAATGACAAAATGTGACACAGAAGTTACTGAGCTGTGTTCTTCGTTTGGCTTCACCTGCCCCGACACCCAGGCACAACACAGCCCCAGGAACAGGACGGAGGGTGGAGCAAGGGCCAACTTCTCAACCAACACCCCTTCCACTCTGCAGAATCCTGGTCACTAAAAAGAAATTACATTTCAAACAAACAGATTTGTACTCATTAAATAGAAGACCTGGCCTCTTCCTGACTGTTAGGCTTTCATTGTGATGACAAGTACCAGCACTGTCAGACTGAGAGATGGTGAAGCTGGAAAACCACCCGCTGGAACACAGGAGAACAGCCAGAGGGGCACAGCACAAACCACCACACCACTTCGGTGTAAATACACACTGAAAATCAAGGACAGTGACTAAAAGGAGAGATTTTGTGAAATCTTTTTAACTATTTCAGCACCTTCTATGGTGAACTCGTCCTAAGCAACAGCTCCTGCTCTACACCATCAGCTGTTGCTTCCACGCCTCTGTTTGTCTTCCCAGTACAGGGCTGACATGGGCAATGTCCACAGGTCATGAGTTAAATTTAGAATAATCCAGCTATTAGAAATCTGGGCAATGAATTAATACTTACGGACTACAAATGAATCCTACTGTCTCCACTAGACACTCATCTCACCAGGTAGGAAGCCACAAGTCTTCACTAGGAGTCCCCCAGCATCACGCAGGGGCTGGCTGATAGTTATAACTTCAAAAGAGAAGCCAGATCAGACACTCAACTCTGAACAGCTCCCCACTGGGCTTCTGCTCGAGGCTCCATTTATAAAATTAGAATGTTAAAAGCAAGTCTCAAAGGATGCTCAAAGAATTTCTTCTTTTCCATTCAGGGCTGAAGACCTCTCGACGTGTTGTGAAGCATCAGGACTAGCTGCTGAGTGCAGTCACAGACTCAATCTTCTCCGAAGACATGTGCCTCATTGCAAGGCAACCATCCCCCCACAAATCAACCAACAGGGGATATGAAATCAGAGGGAAACTGAAAACAAATTTCCAAAAGAAGTTCTGTCTGCATGAGCACGAGACCCTTCTGCACCTGCCTCAGAGGAAGGATCCATCTTGAGATTGGAGGGGGAAGAGCCCACATCTCAGATCCATCTCTCTGCCGCACCTGTAGACACCATGTGCTCCTTTCACAGACTCAGGCTGGCTGAGGTTGGAGGCACCTCCGGAGGTGACCCGGCAACAAATTTCCAAAAGAAGTTCTGTCTGCATGAGCACGAGACCCTTCTGCACCTGCCTCAGAGGAAGGATCCATCTTGAGATTGGAGGGGGAAGAGCCCACATCTCAGATCCATCTCTCTGCCGCACCTGTAGACACCATGTGCTCCTTTCACAGACTCAGGCTGGCTGAGGTTGGAGGCACCTCCGGAGGTGACCCGGCCCGACCCCTCTGCTCAGGCAGGGCCACCTGGCGCTGGGTGGCCAGGACCTCCACAGATGGAGACTCCACAACCTCTCTGGGCAGCCCATGCCAGCACTCGGTCACCCTCACAGTTAAAAAGTGTTCCCTGATGTTCGCAGGGAATCTCCCATGTTCCAGCTTGTGCCCACCCTCTGCGTCCCAGTTTGTGCCCACAGCTTCTGGTTCTAGCACTGGGCAGCGCTGGGCAGAGCCGGGCTCCATCCCCTCCGCAGGTCTGCGCATACCCTCCTGAGAGCCCCCCTTATCTTCTCCAGGCTGAACAGTACCAGCTCTCAGCCCTCCCTCCCAGGAGAGACGCTCCAGTCCCATAACCACCTTCATGGCCCTTTGCTGGACTCTCCCCAGTAGCTCCATCGCTTTCCTGTACGGGGGAGCCCAGTATTTTCCCAAGAGCTCACCAGCAGTGATGCCCTTTCCACCCACACTCCAATCCCACTTCAGCCCAGTCAGTGACTCAAACCAACTTTTGTTCTGGTAAGTGTTTTGAGCGGGGTATTTGTCTACCAGCTTCTTCATCTTGAACTCAATAAAGCAGAACTGACACGGCAAGGAGAAGCAAAGGAACGGAGTGCTTGTCCCTGCCAAACCAAATGAATCCCAGCACAAAAACTGAGATGAACTTATCAAAATTTACCACATGTCTTATGTGACAAAAAAAAAAAAAAAAAAAAAAAAAAAGAGAGACAAGAATTTATTCAGGATGGAGAATATGTCACCCAAGGGAAAGATATTTTGGGTGAAAATGGCCACGAGTTTCTTTTTTAGACAAATCAGATATGACATATGCCTGGAGAACATCTGCGAGATATGCCTTTGGGCAAAATTTTGAAGTCATTAACTTTAAGGGAACTACTGAAATAACTGTGGAATGAACCAAATGATAGGCCAGAGCCTAAGTACGACTTCTTTATGCTGAATTAATGCCTAGCTTTGGGAACACTTGTACCAATGCATTACGGCTTACAGACGGACAAGCCCCTTTAGAAAGTGGCTTTGTAACCAGTGGAATAACACACTAACTAAACTACTCCTGTATTTCCCTGCTGCCCAGCCATCAGCCGTCCCAGCCAAGCTCCCACCAGCCGTGCAGCAGCAGAGGAAAGAAGCAGAAGCACTGTACGTGCTACAGGTATTTATGTCTGGGAGCCAATTTACATTCCCGACTGCTACCAAGGGCTCTCTTTCTTTCCTGTTTCTTAAATCTTACCCACGGATATGGGACACGAGTTACAACACATGCGAAGTTATTAGAGCTCACAGCAGCGAGAGCAGGGCAGGAGCATCCCTCTCCCGACAATGCCTGGCTTTCCTTACCTAAACTGTGGCCATTTTTCGTGTAGAAGCAGGTATTGTTGATAAGGTTGACGCAGCAGCCGATCACATCTCCTGTGGTGAACGTAGGGCCATAGGGCTGTCCCGTCCCTGAAGAACAGAAGGAGTGCCCATCGTCACCATGGTACCCGTAAGAATGTTTATCCCATCCTGCGAAAGACAAGACAAAAGAACAGGTCGACAATGAAGGCATTTTAGAAGAATGACATGGCACCTACAGTCCTCAGGACACAATTTTTCTGGTAGGAAATTTGAAATTTTGATTCCCACTCCTGATCCATTCCAATAATAATTTTCACATGCCAGTAACTGAAAATTAATTGATAGTCATCACTCATAACACATCATTTGGGCTTCAACCTCACTCGTCACTTATGAGAAATAATAAGAAAAGACTGCCAAAAAGTCATTTTGATAAGACAAAGATGTTTCATTTAAAAAAACATTAAAACCCTGTTTCTGTTTTATCTCACGTGCAGTGAAACAAACTTGTCTTCATAAAACATTTGTGTTTCTCACTGACAGAGCATTTAATAAAATAATTATCAGCCAACTGCAGCTTTGTCCATAAGTGCTGCTCACAGGCATAACCGAATGGCCAGAGGCAATTTTTGCAGTCCCACATTTGTATTTCCCTTCTAACAGTTTATAAGGGTTTCTGTGCTCCCCTTGGACAACAACACTTCCCATTCTGTGCCCAGCTTAAAACACAACCCTGAAATGTCAACTGGCAGTTTTCGACACAGTCCATTCTAACATCAATCTCTGCTGTTTCCTCTGCCAGTGACACGGTGCCGAGGGTTAAAGCTGGGCTCGGGGCTGCAGCCTGAGCTCTGTTCCGTATCTCGCAGCAAGCCCATCATTCCGAGTTCCTGATGTTGTTCTGTTCTGTTCCAATTCTGCTGTAAATTCCTTTGTGAATTTCTCACACAGAAATGGCAGATATAACCGGCAACTATTGCAAAGACGAGAGATGAATCCATCCTTTAACAGCTGAAGTGTCCTGCAGGTAACACGCTGGTCTTCTCTTTCCAGGACTCACCTCCCTCTTGCAGAAGAGAGGCAAATGCTTCCCACAGTCATGGCCACAGAGTGATTCAGCGAATGCCACCGGAATCTACCAACCCATGCCTGCCAAATTCAGTTGACACCACTGCTCAAGATGGCTTATCCTGCCCTCTCTTGGGTGGCCAGCTCTGGCAGGTAGCTCCTGGCTAGTCATAGGGAACACTCCTCTTACCCAAGAGCTTGAGGTGAGCATGACACACTCTGTCTTACTGTAAGACTTCAAGAAGAATCAGGATCTTCTCCACCTCTTTGGAGAGCTCCTACGAACTACACAATCAAAACCATGTCTCACAGAGAGATGGACTTCTATCAAAAAGAGATAGACATGACACTACCAACAACCACCTGTGCCTGAAACGGAGCTGCCTGGATCCTTTCGCACACCAACGAAGGTGGCCAACTACTTCTACACCCTACAGCTGAGCTGGCAGCAGGAGCAGAGAATCTGTTAAATGTGGAGCAATGGTTTTGGCAAAAGGACTACCAAAGAAATGCGACGACTGTGAGAGGAGATGGGCTACAAAGCAGAAAGCACACTGTCCTGGGTTAAGCAGAGAGTTAATTTTTTTTTTCTCTTCTTCATAAATAGCTAGCAAGAGGCTGTGTTTTGGATTTATGCTCAGGAGGAGCTGATAAGAATGAAGTTTTGTGCTGCTGCCAAGGACAGCAGACCACGGAAGAAGGACGGCCGCTTGCTAGCATAGGATTTGCTCTTAGGTTAAGACTGAAACTCAGAATAGCCAATAACCTATTCCATAACAATACACGTCATACCCAGTATACAGTTGAGGACCCTTCTGGGAGAGCTCTCTTTTTTGCTCTTTTCCCTTGGCCTCCAGATCATCTTGCTTCAGGTGCCTGCACTCGCTCTCCCAAGGCCCTTCCCCCCCACACACACTCTGGTCAGCTCTTGGTCTGC